AACACCAGCGTCACGTGGAAGAAAATGTCACGAGATGTTCACAGTTCGTATCTCTCATTATTGCTCGAATAAGTTGTAGATAATTTCATCTTTTTCTCGATAACCCCATGTTACTTTGACCTTTAAAGAACCAATCAATCATGGTGTCCTCCCTAATTTCGATGGCTGATTACCATGATTCTCCATTGTTCTCTATTCTTCACCAACTTTTCTAATTCAAGTTTACCTTCTCAAATCCATTTGATAATATCCTTGAACCAAACAAGTCTTTTCTTGCCTCTCATTCTTCTTTCATCGATATAATCCATCATAACCTCTTCCCACCTTCCCTCAGATCTAATTAAATGCCCCAAATCTTCCATTTCCACGTATGTCCAGCAGCTGTCTTTTTCGTTTTGCACGTTCCAATACTTACTCGTTAGTTTTCTTTTGTGTAGCTGATTTTCATCATTCGTCTATGACACCATATTTCAAATGCTTCCAATTGTCCTTTTGTCCACGGTTCAACCCCATAGAGTCGGACTGACCATTAACCATATTGTTACGTCTCCGTTTGTTAATTAATTTTCCGTAAATTCGTTCCGACGAAACTTTAGCAACACAAGTCCTTTCTTAAATGAAACTGGTTTATTCTTTCCGAATACAACTTTACGATACACTTAATTTCAACAGTCGCTCTATAACAAACGCTAGAACGTCTCTCGTGCTCGACAATACTCAATTACACACTCTCTCTGGCTGCAGTTCAAATACTCACTACTAAACAGCACATTGTCCCGTCACGTTGTGACCATCTTATATATACCAGACTACCCCCAATCTAGTAATCTCCCGACAATTCACGAAGGTTCGAGAAGGAAGTGGCGTGATACTAGTCACGTGACCTCGCTGACGCAACAATATTTTAGTAGTCTTTCCTTCAGTTCTAGTTTGACAGCTCTCCTGAGCAGTTCTTTAAGACTAAATAATACAGTTTTGGCCAATCGTATTTCCACATTTGTCCTCATTATTCTATTCGTCCATAAATAACTAAATTTCTTTATTTTCTTGTACTCCTTAATTCCTATTTGATGTATATTGTGATAACTTCCTCAGAATTAATTTAACATTGCCATAATTTTGTGGATATATATATATATTATGAGTCTATAGTTTCTAATTTTGTCAAAAAGCCTGCCATGTAACTGTTATATCTTTTCCTCGTATTCCCCCGTAAAAGGTGCATTAATTGACAACATACTTATTATTACGGATTCTATTTCCGTTAACCATGAACCATTCTGGATTAGCAGTTACATCTCTCACCAACCAATCTGTATATAAATTATATAATATCGGTCACAACAAACATCCTTGTTTCTTTTAACGGTTAAACCAAGGCCTCAGTTTTCTGCCAATTCAAAATGCTGTTTCTTGACTCTAACATAAGTTCTTCAAGATTCTGGAATCTCTTTTATATACTTCAGTCTGCTAGTCAATCTCTATTAACTTCTCGCGGTTAACCCTGTCAAAAGCTTTCTCAATGTATGTGAAGCATGCATAAAGATTTCTTTAGACATCTACAGTTTATTACCCTGATGTCCTAAAGCCGAATATATCCTCTCGGGTCCTCGACCTTTCGGTCTCGTGACAACTAATTCTCAACTATATGTTTAATTCTATCGATTACCTTTATCGATACTCCTCAGGTGTGGCTGATCAAGTTGGTAGTTCTGTTTAGTCAATATCCATAGTCGTATATTAATGTTTCTTAGGGATGGACACAAAACAGAATATTTTAATTATGTTGCCATTACTCCTTCTCAATACATTCACTTACAAATTAGAGTAAAATATTAAATCCCTAAAATGTTCATTTCTTCTTAACATTTTTGTGTAATATCGTCTATGTCGCAAGCTTTTCCATTTTTTTAAACTTCAAATGGCTCCCCTTCCAGAATTCCTGGGCCGTACTAAGTTGGTTCATCCTACCTTATATCGTTATACAATTCTCCTACATACTTCGTCCTTCATAAGTTTCAAAAGTTTTTCTTTCTTTAGATAGTTCTACTTGAAGACAGAATATTCTTCTGTACATTTCATGTGTTTCCTCGTATCCCTCAGTTTCTGTACGTTTCTTCTTCAGATACCCATCATTTACTTCCCTACAGAAAAGTTTGACTTGTTTGTAGTCTTCCCTATATTCTTGCCCAACTCTTGATACCCATCTTTCTTGAAACCTCAGACTTTGATTTTACCTCTGCTTCTTCTCTTCACCACAATCTTCTTAATGTAACATCACCTTGAACTCAAGCCGCTGATCATCAGTATTATTTTATTAGTATACACCTGGAAAAAAGTTAAGCACCCCCGTGTTTTTTTCAAGTGATTCAGATTCGACGTTCTTGTGATT